TAGAAGATGGTGTCTTATTCCCTGTTCTTCTGTTTCGACGATCCAACTTTCATTCTTTCGTTCCGGAGGCATCGTGTTATTGCTTCTTCAACCATCATCTTGTTCTATCAAAGATCATGTTCTTTTCTTTGCTTATCCATTTAACCAGAGTGTTGTGCCCTTTTTGATCAAGTTCTTTTCGCATTATCAAGCCTGACATCTCTTTTCAACCGGAGTGTTGTCTGAGATCTTTCTTACCCCTTGTTCCATTCATTCAATAGTTCCGGAGGAAGTGTGTTGTGATTTCATCAAGTGTCTTCTCATCTTACTTCTTATTCAATTCTTTTTTTTTCAACCGGAGTGCTGTCTGAATTTGTTCTTCCTTGTTCCTCTTCCCTACCGGAGTGCTTTCAACTTTGTTCTTCTTCATTGCTTTCTTTCTTTCAATTGTTTAACCTCTCAAGGCTCGTGGTTTCACTCGTTTGTCAAAGAAGCAACTTAGTTTTACATTTTCTCTTTCTCTTCCGTTTTCACTCCGGTGCCATCCTAGATCTCGGGACGAGATCCTCTCGTAGTGGTGGAGTGTTGTAACGCCCCAAGACCGGAGCTTCATATGCCTTACAGGGTTTTCGAGTTTCGTCATGTGATTTGTTTTGTCTGTTGCATTCATCTTTGCATTTGTGCATTGCATCATGTCATCATTTGCATTGCATCGGCACTTGTTGCTGTCATTGTTTTTAAAACTTGCATCCGCTCGTAGCTGCCGCGTTCCCCCTTGCTTTTGTTGACTGTTCGAAGACCAACCCTGTTCTTCGTTTTCCCTCTTGCCTAAACCGGAGTCTCTTTGCACAGTGCATCAACCCCTGCATTGTCTCTTTCTCAACTTCATCTTCTTCTCCACCCACAACCGTGCTTGGTCATCTTATATTCTCTTGATCTTCTTCTCCTTCTTCGTTAATCCATTTTAATTGTGGTATTCTATTCCCTGCACCAATTTAATGTTCATTCTTTTCCTATAATTTTGGGACCATGCCAGTTACCTCTCGGCCTAATCTCATCTTTTCTGAGTTGTTTTGGTTAGGTTTAAAAAATGGCCCAAGTTTGAATTTAATTCAAACTTGTTTTATTTTTATACCTCTAAAAAATTGTCCAAACCAATTTTATCAATTAGGGCATTAATCCAGGGTCTCGAGGATATTTTTATATTACTCATACTCCCCTCTTTTATCCCTGTGCTTTTCTGTTTACTTTCTGGTTGAGGAATGTAAAAGAAAAGAGAAAGCAGCAGCAGCCTACCTGGGCCTCAGCCTTCAGGCCGGCCCAGCAGCGGACCCAACATCAGATCCAGCCACAGCCCGCTAGGCCCGCCCTGCGCCCTCCTCCCTCCTTTTTCTCACCAAAGTGCCGCACATCCCTCTCTCCCACTCGACCCACGTGGACATGCGGGTCCCCCGCGTCAGCGGCCAAGCCCGAACCGCACCCCCTTTTTCTTCTACCTCGCTCCCTCTCTTTTCACGCACGCCATGGACACAGGGGCACCATGGCACCCGCACCCCTATATAGCCCCGCCTCTCGCCTAGGGTTCCCTCTTCCTCCCCCTTCCTTTCTCCGCCGCCGCTAGGAGGTAATCCATCCTCACGCTCCTGTAACCTCCTCCACCAACACCATGTCCGAGAGGGAGACGAGCTCCTCCGACATGATCTGCGACCCCGTCGGCCTCCGTCTCCTCTCCAGCGTGCGCGCCTCGACGTCCCTGCTCCGTTCCCGTGTCAAGTCCTAGCCCAGGAGCGCCAAGACCGGCGCATCTTCTTCCTCTTCGTCTCAGACCCGAAGCCCCGCCAAGTCCACCGCCTCGATCAGCGCATCCTCCTGCCGTCTATGATCTCCGTTGACCTTGTACGACTCCAGCAGCACCCCCACAGTGATGCCCCGCTCCTTCCCAACTCCCTCTCCGGTTTGATCTTGTCGTCGTGGTCGTCTTCCCGAGCCTGCCTATTCCATATCTGCCATGGGCGAGTTCCTGAAGCTCACCTTGCATGCCACCCTGCCTCGCGCACTCGCTCCCGCGCGCGCCCAGCGTGCTTTGCCTCGCAGCCGCCCCTCTGCTTCGCCCCTGCCTCGCGCGCAGCCGCGCCGCACCACCTAGCTTCAGCCGCCCACCTTGTCGTGCTTCGCTGCCATGGCCGCAATCACATAGAGTCCCTGTCCACTCGCGTCCTCGAGCAGAGCATGCTCGCGTGCTCCACCACGAGCACCCTCACCTTTTTCCGCAGGCACGTCGCCGCTCTGCTTGGCGAGATGTCGTCTCCCGGCTCAACACTGTTGATGCCGGTGTTCTCCGTGTAGCCATGGCCAAAGGCTCGGCCCTCTGGTCATAGGTCAAAAGAATCCAGGCGCCCGGATTTATCATAAACACGCTTGCAGCTCAGTGGTTGGGGTTACTAATTTGCAAGCGGGAGGTCCTGGGTTCGAAACCCAGCTCTCCCTGTTTTACTTTCTTTTGCCTACACACACATCCAGCAGCTTGGGCCTCTTTCGCTCCCGGGCCGCTGCACTGTGTTGCTTCTGGCGCGCGTATGTTTTTTTTCTCTTCCCTGAGTTTTTCTCTATTTTCAGTGCATGCATAATTACAAGAATGCCACTGCTTTAAGATGCTAATAACCGAATATCCATGCATCCAAATAAAACATGTTATATATGTAAAATGCTTAGAATTTTATCTAGTTTCACAATATCCAACTTTCATGCATGTTTGACATGTTTAAACTGTTGTTTGGTTAAATTTTCTCCTATGCCATGTTAAAATGCTTTAATTCATAACTTAATAACCGTAGCTCGGTTTTAAATAATCTTTATATGTAAATGGGGTAGAAAAATGCCTCGTTTAACATGGTGGCATCACTTTGCATGTTTAACAACTATAAAATATGGTTTAGGGCAGAACAGTACCAAACCTAATGTATGCATATGAGGAGTTTCCGGACTTGTTGTTTTGTTGTTCCGGCCTCATTTAAACCTGCCTAGATTAGATAGTTTCGTCATGCTTCACCTCTTGCCATGCTAACAACATTTAACCTTGTTGGGTAACGAGAGAGAACTAAATAAGTCATGTGGTGTTTTCTTCAATATGCAACTCCGTTGCATGTTGAGCTCCACTTAATTTGTAGGTTTGTTTGCGCACTTTGCCATGTCATGCCCTCTTTAAACTGGACATGCATCATTCTTGATTGTGCATCATGCCATGTTCATGTTTTGGTTGTTTACTATGTTGTGTGCTTCTTTCTGGTGTTGCTTCTTCAGGTTGGTTCCGGAAACATTGCGTTTGTGAGGATACGTTGGCTACATCCGTTTGTCTTCTTTATGGACTCGTTCTTCTTCCTTGTCGGATTTCAGGCAAGATGACCATACCCTCGAAATCACTTCTATCTTTGCTTGCTTAGTTGCTCGCTCTTTTGCTATGCCTATACTGCGATACCTACCACTTGCTTATCATGCCTCCCATATTGTTAAGCCAAGCCTCTAACCCACCTTGTCCTAGCAAACCGTTGTTTGGCTATGTTATCGCTTTGCACAGCCCCTCTTATAGTATTGTTAGTTGCAGGTGAAGATTGGAGCTTGTTCTATGTTGGAACATGGATATTTTGTTGGGATATCACAATATCTCTTATTTAATTAATGCATCTATATACTTGGTAAAGGGTGGAAGGCTCGGCCTTATGCCTGGTGTTTTGTTCCACTCTTGTCGTGCTAGTTTCCGTCATATCGGTGTTATGTTCCCGGATTTTGCGTTCCTTACGCGGTTGGGTTATAATGAGAACCCCTTGACAGTTCGCCTTGAATAAAACTTCTCCAGCAATGCCCAACATTGGTTTTACCATTCGCCACCTAGCCTTTTCTTTCCCTTGGGTCGGCCAGCCCAAGGGTCATCTTTATTTTAAATCCCCCCCGGGCCAGTGCTCCTCTGAGTGTTGGTCCAAACTAGAGCCCTGTGCAGCTCCCCCTCGGGGAAACTCGAGGTTTGGTTTTAGTTGTATGGAGCGCTCATCTGAGTGTGCCCTGAGAACGAGATATGTGCATCTCCTATCGGGATTTGTCGGCACATTCGGGCGGTGTTGCTGTACTTGTTTTACCATTGTCGAAATGTCTTGTAACCGGGATTCCGAGCCTGATCGGGTCTTCCCGCTAGAAGGAATATCCTTCGTTGACCGTGAGAGCTTGTGATGGGCTAAGTTGGGACACCCCTGCAGGGATTTGAACTTTCGAAAGCCGTGCCCGCGGTTATGGGTAGATGGGAATTTGTTAACGTTCGGTTGTAGAAAACCCGAAGTTGACCTTAATTAAAATACATCAACCGCATGTGTAACCGTGATGGTCTCTTTCCGGCGGAGTCCGGGAAGTGAACACGGTGTTGGAGTTATGCTTGACGTAGGTTGTTCTAGGATCACTTCTTGATCATAGTTTCTCGATCGTGCTTTGCCTTCTCTTCTCGCTCTCATTTGCGTATGTTAGCCACCATATTATGCTAGTCGCTTGCTGCAGCTCCACCTCATACCTTTATCTTACCCATAAGCTTAAATAGTCTTGATCGCGAGGGTGCGAGATTGCTGACTCCCCGTGACTCACAGATACTTCCAAAACCAGCTTGCAGGTGCCGATGAGTCCGTGCAGATGACGCAACCGAGCTCAAGGAGGAGCTCTTGGAAGATCTTATCCTTTGTGTTGTTTCGTTCTAGTTGATCAGTAATGGAGCCCAGTTGGGGTCGATCGGGGATCTGTGTAGCATTTGGGGTAGTCTTCTTTTATTTTGGTTCCGTAGTCAGACCTTGATTGTATTTGGTTGATGTATGCTTTATTCATGTATTGTGTAAAGTGGCGATTGTAAGCCAACTATGTATCTCTTTCCCTTATGTATTACATGGATTGTGTGAAGATTACCTCACTTGCGACATTGCTTTCAATGCAGTTATGCCTCTAAGTCGTCCTCCGACACGTGGGAGATATAGCCGCATCGAGGGCGTTATAGGAAAGATACCAAAAAGCCCCACATTGGTCAGGTTTCTGAATGTAAAAGTGAGCTGCTTCGGATGAAATTGCTGGAGAAGAAACACATACGATATTCAGAGGCAGACAAAAACTCATGTGGCACATCGAAATTAACTCACCATTTGGCTGCCAAAATCGAGATACAAATTAGAGAAGTTCCTGGAACTCCATGGTAGACACCCACTCAGTGCGAGTGGCGCCGAAAAGCTTATGATACGGAAATGATGAACAAGCAGCGAAGCTCCGGAACATAGCCGAACCGCACCGGAGGGTTTTCGAAGCGTGAAGATTGGAACCGCACTTCTGTAAGTTTGGGTACATCGATCAACTCAATCCATCTACAACGAAAGCCAATGAAGCAGAGCTCATGGAGCCTTGAGCGTGGCGTGTCGATCTTGAGCACAGAGTGCCGATCAACCAGTCCGCAGGAACTCAGGGTGAGGTGTCTGAGCCTATTGCAAGCTCTAATGAGATCGGTGACGTCAGAATGGCCAAACACAAGGTCGTTGAATTTAAGCATCGTGAGCCACCGGAAGGTAACTGGATAGGCACGGGAGAAGGACATGAACAGCTGCCCCAGCTCAGCACGCAGCCCTTCAGTGTTGAAACCAGTCCGTAAACTGTATGGCGAGCACGTGTGAAATTCAAGGCATTCAATCTCGCCGCCGGCGATAGCGTCCTCGACGGCGCGGCCTATGGAGCTCAGGTCCGACATCGGGAAGAAGCGGAGGCTGAGGGTTTTGATGGCGCACTTGCACTGGGCCGGAGGAGGACATGCAGACAGTAAACTGCACAGCGCGCCCGTGAATGCCTCCATGACGTCGGCCACCGGAGAATTCCCAGTGATCAAGACCGCCGAATTGGCTCCGACGAAGTGGCGGACGTCGAGATGCAGGCGCGGGAGCAGGTGGTGGAGGTGCCGCCACCGCGTGGAGACTGCGCGGGCGCGGACCACCTCGCACAGGTCGAGGTGCTCCAGGATTCCTCGAAGGACGTCGTCGGGGAGCGCGCTGAATCTGTCCTCATCTCGGTCGAGGTTGGGCCGCGGCGGCCGGATTCGGAGGTTGACTGAAACCCTAGATAGAAGTGGAACCAATCGCTTGTATGCAGCACGGAGCCAGAGGGGCAGCCTCCCGCGCCGAGGCCGCGGCTCCTCCGGCGCTCCGCTCCCCGCCTCCGATGTGGAACCCGTCGGTCCGGACGGAACGGCGGAAGCCGGCCCCGTTTCGCGGCCAGGTCCATGGATCCGACTCCCCCCTACTCCTCCTCGATTCCCCTCCTGCGCCCCGTTTCGATTTGGTGCTTGCATTTCTGACGGCAGTGGGAAACTGATTGGGAACAGACGCGATCTTTCCTTCTTATTTCTCGCTGCTGGTTTGTCACTTTCCAGAGGAAATCGACTACTCTTTTTTTTCTTTTTGAAATCCTCCCCTTCAGCCGGCGGATTACAAGGCAGGCATCCACCTCCTTTGTCGAACGACACGTGTCTTTTTCTTTCTTTCCTTCTGTTGATTTCTCATACCAATATCACTGATGCTGGTATTGTTGTTTGATTTTTCTGTACGAATCTTAAAGCCATTGAGGAGGACACATCAAACTCAAGGATCGTTCGTTGTTAAACACATACGCCCGGACGCATACTCTCTACTCTCTTCTCTCGTCACCTACCCCCAACCCACCATGCACAGCAGTCACTCATGGGCACATCACCGCCGCTGCCCCGCTCTGCTAGCGCGACTATGAGCTGCCGGCCGCCACCAAACGGCGAGGCCGTCTCACCCACGACCATCTCTCTTCAGCGCGACCTCCCTGCTCGGGGTCGCCTCCACGGTGTCTCATCTGCAGCTCCGTCGATCTGCATCTCGCGCCGACTCCAATGGCCATGGAACCGCGGCTCGCGCGCCCCAGCTCTCTGTCTCCATGTACTCATCGGCCTTGTTCAACTTCTGCTCGCCCGCTTCCAAGCGAAGCCACTATGCTCATCTTCTTCAGCGCGGCCTCCCTGCTCGCAGGCGCCGGAGTCGGCTGCGTCGTCTGCAGGTTGAGCCGTAGCTGGACCGGAGTGCGTGCGAAGGTGTCAGCTGCTCAGTACCTGCTATCCCTGAAGATACTGAAGAAAGCCCTGTAGCTGATCAAGACCGTGCCGACAAGAGCGGAGTGCCAACTCAGAAAGAACCGAGGCCCAAGTCCAACCGGCCCAAAAAGCTTCCCCAGTGGCTTGCTAGCCCAAACTGGGCCCGCTGAGCGGGTGTACCGTTATATAGCTACAGGAGTTGTTACGTTTGTCTTCGGCTGGGATTTGGACGGCTCCAGTTGTGGCTTGTAACTCGCTTATCCAAACAGAGGTGTGGGTGGCTGGGAGGAATCCCTCTATCGATAATTCAAATTCTAGTTCCTCTTTGCTATGAAATCCCTAGATCGAGAGAGTTGCTAGAGAGATCCTCACATCTGGTAATCAGAGCCTCATCGCCCTGGAGTTGCCCCCCCCCATGACTACGCGACGCGTATCGGCGAACGGCGACGAATCCAGGCCATGGAGGAGCTCAGCGCCGACAGCCGCACCGTCTACAAACTCCTCTGTCATGAGTTCACCAGCGACATGGACAACAAGCTCCGGACTCATGGTGAGTCACTCCTCAAATCGATGAGCAAGATGATCGAAGCAAACAACGCGACACTCCACAGCCTCATGTCGGCACGGGCGTATGGGATCCGCGACGAAATTGCCCTCGACCTCGAGCAGATCAGGACGGATTTCTACAAGATGGAGCCGCTGGAGCCAGATCCCAAGGCTGACGGAACTTCGTCTTCACGCAACGCTGGGCCGGGGCGTGGCGCTGCTGCGACCAGCGCCCTTGGCTTCGATAACGAACACCAGGGGAAGGCACATAACATTTATGTCCCTCCTCCGATCAGAGATGCGCGCGATTCAGTTTTTCCCCCAGAATTTTTTCTCCCCGTGATCCTCATTCGATGGATACTGCTGAGTATTCCTCGTTTTCCATGCATCTGGAGATTCCCAAGTTCGATGGCTTGAACCCGAGATTGTGGCAAAATCGTTGCGAAGACCAGTTCAGACTGTGGAACACGCCTCCTCACAGATGGTTATCGTTGGCCACAACTCATTTGGAAGGTGCTGCTACATGGTGGCTTGAATCTATGCAGAGGCACATGCCGAATACCAATTGGTCAGATTTCTGTGCTGCGTTACAGAGTCGTTTTAGGCGCAACCAACAACAAACCCTGCTCAGGAAGCTTTTTCGAACTGCTCAAACAACGACTGTAGAAGACTATGTTGAACGTTTTGCTGAGCTCTATGATCAGTTAACAGCGTATGAAGATACACCCAACTCCTTGCATTACACCACCAGGTTTTTGGATGGTTTGAAGCCTGGGGTGAGGATGGCTGTTGCACTGCAGAAACCCAAGGATTTAGATGCAGCATACGAACTTGCTTTGTTGCACGAGGAGTTAAGTGAGACGTACTCTTCTACCAGTTGCTCTACCCCAAGGAAATCAGTAACAACTCCTAGCTATGCCAGTTTGAAGGTTCAGAAACAGGAAGACCGACGAAATTCAGATTCTGTCAGCAGTGTAGCTCAAGAAGATAAGTGGACAATGCTCAGAAATTACAGGAAATCTAAGGGACTGTGTTTTGTTTGTGGAGAGAAATGGTCTAAGGATCATGTGTGCAAGGCCACAGTTCAACTACATTTTGTGCAAGAAATGACAGAACAACTACAATCTAATTCCACCGAAGAGTCTGATTCTGATAGTGAACAACATGATTAATCTTCAGTTCATTCCATTAGATTATCTGCTGCAGCTATGGGACAGGAACCAGAAGCCCCGGTTTTACAATTAGAGGTTGAATTGCAAGGCCACAAATTTCAATTTCTTGTTGACTCGGGCAGTACACATTCTTTCCTCGATTTGCAACACAGTTCCTTAGCAAGGGTCAGCCCAACTAAAACTCTCACTGTTACAGTAGCTGGTGGTTCAACAATTCAGTGCCAACAACAAATCAAAAATTGTGTGTGGCAGTGCAATGGTGCTAATTTCATTTCAGATTTCAAGTTATTGCCCCTGCAAACTTATGATGGCATATTGGGGTTGGACTGGCTGGCCCAGCATAGTCCTATATATGTTGATTGGGTTGAAAAATGGTTATCATTTAACAAGGAGGGACATACAGTCACCTTACATGGCATTGGATCTGAAGAGTGTTCTTACACCCATGTTTCTATTTCTGCAATTCAAGCTGAAGGACAAGCTACTGTTACCCCGAAAATTCAGTTGTTGTTGGAAGAATTTGCTGATGTGTTTGAAACTCCTACTCAGTTACCTCCTAGAAGAGAATGTGACCACATGATCAATTTAATTCCAGGAGCCAGACCAATAACAGTTAGACCATACAGAATAGCACCACAGTTAAAGGATGAACTTTAAAAACAAATTACAAAGATGTTAAATTCATGTGTCATCAGACCCAGCAAAAGCCCTTTCTCTTCTCTAGTAATTCTCGTTAAGAAAAAAAGGGGGAATGGAGATTAGTAGTGGACTACAGAATGCTAAATGCTATCACAATCAAGGGAAGTTCCCAGTGCCTGTGATTGATGAACTTTTGGATGAATTATCTGGTGCTGCTTGGTTCACTAAGTTAGATCTCAGGGCTGGTTACCATCAGATCAGACTGGATGCAGGGGAAGAATATAAAACAACCTTCCAAACTCATCCGGGCCACTATGAGTTCACAGTTTTATCTTTTGGTCTCAATGAAGCTCCAGGAACATTTAAGGGAGCCCTAAACACCACATTGTCCCCAGTTAATAGGAAGAATACCTTAGTTTTCTTTGATGACATTTTAATCTTCAGCAAGTCCTATAAGGAGCATTTGAAGCATGTTAGAGAAGTTCTTATTTTGCTAAGAGCTGATCAGTGGAAAGTCAAAATGTCAAAATGTGCTTTTGCTCAACAACAGATTGGTTACTTGGGACATACAATAACTGCTCAAGGAGTTGCAACAGATCCTAGCAAAATCCAAACAGTAGAGCAATGGCCTACTCCAACTAATGTCAAAGAAGTCAGAGGTTTCCTGGGTCTGAGTGGTTATTATAGGAAA